GACGGCCAATTTATTCTGGGGTCCACAACTTTCCCGTGTCGAATTCTTCTTATTTCGTCGATTTCGGTCCCTGCGCCTTTTCTTCTTCGGTTCTCTGACCGGCATTACTTCGGCGTCTTGTACGGGTACCTCTAGTAGTTCTGCCGCCTCAGGTTTCCTGTGCACTGAAGTCGGCTCTTCTTCTTCTGGACGTGCCACCGTTTCTTGGTAGGCCATCGTAACTCCGACCGGTATAACTATGGGGACCTCTTCTTGTTGCGCCGCCGCAGGTTTCGTGTCCACTGGGCAGGTCACCGTCTCCTTCAGTTCTCTTCGGTCGGTCTGTCTGACATCCTCCAATCTGGCCAGTAATTCGTTGAGGCCGATCTCCGCCTTTTCTTGATAGGTTTTCATGCTGGCGTCAAATTTTGCCTCCGTTTTTTCTTGGCTAGCTCTGATTTCCTTGAGAAGCATTTCCATCATTTGCTGCATCTCCATTTTGTAGCAGTAAAATTCTCTGAGGCGTATTCAAGCTCGTAAAAATTCTGACACCAAATTGTCACGTGTCTTAAGATCGAATCTCGTCGGTCACGTGTGTAAGTTCTAATCCCACTTCTGACACCAGTGTAACATCATGTTACACATGTGTGACATGTCACAATATTTTCGGCACAAGCCTGGCATCCAGAGGAATGGCAATATTCATTCATGCAATGCCATTTTAAAGAGGGTTGATGATTTTAATGTTCGTGGCAGTGCAGTGAGTAAGTCTGTTGGCCCTGCACATCCCAGTGGTACATCACAGAAAGCTGTGGACAATGACAACGGGGTTTTGACTTCGGCACCACACTGTCCTCTTAGTGGCATTTTGATCACTGATGAGTGGCTTTGGAATTGCAGCTCGTCCAGAAATACCCTGCTTGTGGCGTTCCCTTTGTACTGTTTTGGTGATGACAGGGTTTGTGAGCGTGACATTCTGTTTAGCAGTCACTTTTGCAGCTGCAGTCTTCTTATTTTTCGTTACAATCCTACGCAATGTTCGTCTGTCTCGATCACTCAACACACATTTCCGTCCAAGCTGGTGTTTATTGGATGTGGTTTTTTCACTCCTCCTGTATGCAGTCATAATCTTGGATACTGTGCCTCGCGAAACACCAAAAACCTCGGCTACCTTGGTTACGGAAGCATCTACCATATGGGCCCCAACAATTTGCTCGCGTTCAAATTCTGGTAGCTCTGACGTGATGCACAAAAAATTGCACAGAACACTGTCTCAAAAAGAAATGAAGCTTGCAACGTATTGTGGAGATTGTACAAGTAGTGGTGTTGGGCAAATACGACAGCGTGACCTACAAACGTCGCTAAAATAAACACTTCAATTCAGGCATGCATTTCACGAGGTGTTTCCATATTTTTGTCCATCCCCTGTAGATGAGAAGCCATGAGTCATACTGAAGTAGAAAAAGACTACAGACTAAAGACCAGTATGAGAACCAGAAGAAATACAGTATGAGATTTGTTAGCAAGAAGGGTTTCAATGTGTGAACTGTTATAATCAACTGTAACTGTAATGGAGACATATAATTAATCCAATCATCAAATCTGGAACCCACAATTGTTCATCACGCTACCCCTTATGCATGATAATATGTAATTTTTACATTTAACAGGAAATCAATATACTTTTATTGGCTGTGCATTAAATATAGGTATTGGCATACTGCATGGTCCAGCTAGCCAAGCAATGTATTTTTTCAATGTTAATACCAACACCTCCCCTTAGAATATGGCTGCCACACCTGTATATGTAGGAGATTTAAAATTCCATATTCGTTGACAATGAACAGTTGCTATTACTTAAAACACTGTCACCACCCTTAAGACTACTAAATTTAAAACCACTAAAGAGTTAATGAAAACAATTTCCACACAAATTCCTGATACTGGTCATTTTAATTTTCACTCTGCAACTTGTTTATGCAAAATACTCACATGCTGATATTGTGTTTGAGGTGGTAGATGCCCCTGATGTGGATATGGTAGAGCAAACTGGGCAGGTATAGGGGCTGGAGCCAACAATGGCTGTCCTGTAGCTGCAGCCACTTGCATTTGGGATGCAATGTCTGGACGATGAGGCATTGGCAATGGCACTATAACAAATATGTCTCTCAGATCTCTGCTACAATTCCCATCCAAGTCTTCTTAAACCCATGAATTTCACCATACAGATGCTCATTACGGCTGTATCTCACCTTTACGGAATCGACTATTTTGATTTTGTGGAGTGAATGCAGTGGGTTGATTAGTTGCTGCAACAACATACGTTGGCATAACCATTGCTGTAGCGGCCATGCCAGCTGCGGCTCCTGGTGGTGCAGCACAGTACTGAGGTGTCTGTGGAGTGTGTGGCCGTGATGGAGTGGGTGTACTTGGGGAACGCTACAAGAGTTATAGTATATATAAGTGATAATAAAACAAGTGAAGATGGAATTATAATTAACAGAACTGAACTGGGAAATACGCTTTCTGTTTGTCAGTAACATTCCCACTGACATGCCTAATGCTGCTACAGGATCTCCATCATTTGCTATTTTTTCTTTCCTGTAAAACTGAAAAACCTAAGAGAACTCTTGAGATCAAGATAAGAGGCAGAATGTATTTAAAATTAAGTCTTTTACATGCATCTACCTCTCTCAATATATATGAGCCACATAAAAAAGGCCCGTGATCTCACACGTTTCAGTGTATGAAAAATGTTTGTTTTGCTGGTGCAATGCTTCATTTTGTACATATTTGTGCCTAAGGAACATGCATTATCATGTGCTCTGTTTCACTTCATACAATTCTGTTTACCTTTACGAGTCTGCTGTTGTTTACACAGGCAGAAAATCAAGCATTAGCAAACGTAACTCATCCATACCAGTTTATCCTCTTACCAAGTCTGTATGTATACAATTTACCACCAGTTGGGAAAAAGTGACTAAAGGTTCATGTGCCCTGGTCCCAAACAACTCAAACTCCATGCAAACAAATCAGATTCTTCAGAACTTTGAACAAGAACAATTACCTGATCTTCTCTCAGCATTCTGTAAGTCGTATACCGATTAGGTTTAATGTATGGACATGTCAACAGGATAACAAGATTGTGAACATATACAGTGTACATTTAACAGGCGACTTCCATACAGGGAATTACAAGACGTACCAAGACCTATGCCCCTCAAATAACTTAGAAGAAAATGCATCTAATGTGAGGATGTCATATTCTGCAATTCTGAAGGTGCCTTATTTTTAACCAACCGAACTAAGGCGATTTTTAATATATTTGATACATTTATATTAAATTAATCTGGTTTCTAACATTTTTAAGTTCAAACAAATCACACACTGAACAAACGTGGATTTACTAATCAAAAGACTGTATAAACTCAGTTCAACACTCTTGAATTTGGAGACAAGCTTTAAGTTTTTCAACAGATAAGCCAATGGGGACAAATTTCTTATGCATTAAAATAAGTATTATAGACAATTTCTTTATTAAAACCATCACAACACAACAATATTAAGGTCAGTGCCTAGTTTGGCTCTGCTACATGTTTTGGCTATTAATAGCCATCATCAGCCAAATACATGGCTAACATATATACATCAGTGAACTGCAGTACTAATAAAATTGGATACAATAATATTAATTATATTAAAATACTTGGCATAAAAATACAATAAATTAGATTATATAAAACAAGAATAAAATTCTTCGAGTGATGTTTTACATCACTGAGTCAGTCGTTGGTTTTTGTGATTTTGTTGTCTTCCCACGGACAAATTGGAGTATTCTATATTTTGTATATACATAATAAATTGTTTTGGAGGCTCATGATGTAGATGTAGAAATATTAATGTTAATTATTTAGTCAGTGCCTAATCTTACAAAGTATTGTCTGCTCTGTAGGGAACGTAAACGACGACTCGGTTGTAACCTAATTTATTGTATTTTTACAAGTATTTTAATATAATTAATATTACTGTATCCAAATTTATTAGTACTGCAGTTCAGTGCAAGAAGTGCGACATCGGACTCTGCATTTCTGGATGTTTCCGAGAATTCCACACGAAGGCAACATTCCGGTAGATGACGCAGGTGGGAAGACAGACAACCCATGCAGATGGTGGCCAAAAATTATGTAAGTAGGAAAAGAATTTCTATCTTAAAAATTGATTTTAAAATAACGTGCGCATGCGCGGACTGTGCGACCCCATATGGGGTCATTCATACCGCTGACTTTATTTTTGCGACCCCATATGGGGTCTTTAGTAGTTTAAAGGTTAAAGAGTGAAGCAATTTTGTAAAAGAATGCACAAACCGTTTAGGACAGATTGGTGATCAGATGCTGAGCAAGTCTGTATACATAACTGAGCACTCCTATTGTACAAATTGGAGAAAATATAAAGAGAAGAAAGTAATTCTTACCGGGGTAAACGGTTTAGCATTTGGGTTGTATACAAATTCCTTAGCATTAGGATTCAGGGTGGACTTTTTGAGCGCAGATGCCACCTTATCAACTGGACCACCTCCAAGTTCACCACCTTGCTGATCTTTATTCCCTCCACCTTCTTCAGGAGACTGCACTTGTCCCTGCTTCTTGCAATCATTAGTACTTGCATCACCAGTTTCTCCAGTACTTAGTTTGAAATCTTGTCCAAACTTCTTCAGTTCAGCCTGTTGCTCATCTCGCCCTAAATAGAAAAGTAGGAGAAAAATAAGTGTTTTCTATTGTAAACAAAAAGAAAAACCGTACTTATGCAATACCTTAAAGCTTACATCTAATGTCAGTATCTTCAGCATGACATATGAATGCATATTAATTTAATTATGGTAAAAACTATCTTACAACTACTCCTACAACTAAGATCTTAAGGCCTGCTGACAGAAAAATTCTTCTGCATATTCTACAACCTTCATACAGCATACTAAATGAAAATGCGCTATCTGTGTCAGTGCAGAGGTATTTTACTTGCATAACTACACTGTGTTCAGAGGGCAGGCTGACTGGACATTGATTTTACCACAGGAAACTTCCTGCGACAGCGCTGTGCAACTTGGCGGGAAAAATGCCACCGCACAGCTGGAACTGCTAGTACACATTATTTACTTCTTTCGTTAATCATTAATCAAATGTAGTAATTAATGTTGTACCCACCATCATAGAAGATGTTCAATATGTCTGAATTCTTTTAAACAGATTTCAGGAAACTTATTGCAATTCACGTTGTTAATGTTGAAAATTGCTTCATGAATATCCTGTTTCAGAGCCTCCAGGTCATGTGGGTTGTTGGTATACACAACACTTTTTTTGTGTTTTTCTCACAAAAATCACAGGGGTTTTAGATCTGGTGATCTAGGGGGGGGGGCACAAACCCTTGCTAATAATTCTATCCTCCCCAGTTAGTTCCCCAAACACATCACGTTATGCTCGGATTGTTTCGTTAGCTGTGTGTGGAGTCGCGGCATCTTGCATAAAATAACTGAATCTTTCTTCTGCAGGTGCCAAATTAATGAAAAATGGATGAGTTTTGCATTAATGTATTGTTGAGCATCATGAGTTCCTTCACAAAAATCTGTCCAATGATATGGTTTGCGCTAATTGCACACCACACACCTATCTTTTGGTCGTAAAGTGGAAGCTGAATTAGGGCATGAGGATTTTCACAACTCCAGTACCTGTTGTTTTGTGAGTTAACATATCCCGAAGCAGCCTCCGTAGTCTAGGGGTAACGTTCCCACCTCATGACTCAAGGTATGCGGGTTCAAACCCGGCGGAGGTCGTGGAATTTTTAAGGGCAGAAAAATTCAGGAAACAAGTCCTCCGGGAGGCATTTTAAGCCGTGGGTCCCGTGTCATAGCTTTACGGCATGTAAAAGAACCTCAATGTCTCAAGGAGGCCTCTGAGCCAAATTTATAAGGACATTTCCCACCCAACAATAGTCTCTAACGCCTCTGGTAGATTGGGGAAGCATCTAGATACCGCTGAGCCAGTAGAGGCCGAACTCTCTGGCTGAGTCGGGACTGATGGCATGCACCAGTATAGGGCATAGAGACTGGTAGAATATCACAGGGGGACGTACAACAGACCACTGGTCGCGGCGCATGGGGAAACCCACCCCCTCCAAATAATAATAATAATAGTAATAATAATAATAATAACAACAACAACAACAACAACAACAACATATCCTGAGAGATCAAAATTAGCCTCATCTGGGAAAAATGTCAGCTTAGGTTCAATAAGTCTGTCATGTACTTGAGTGATAAATCAATTACAAAAGCTCATTCTTTTTTATAATACATGTATCATTTCAGGAACAACAGTAACTTTATATGGACGAAAATGCAACAGTTTAGTTACTTTCCATGCACTGCCTACAGAAACACCACTTGGTTGTGCTACTCACCGTAAAGATTTTTGAGGAGAATTTTCTAACTGATGAACAATGCATGAAGTTTTTCATCAGTTAAAACAAGATTTCTTTTTAACAGCTTTCTGTCAATTAAAATACTGCAGGTTTGAATTTTCTTCACTAATTTGGAAATTGTATCTACAGATGGACATGTTATTTCAGGAAATTTATGACAAAATTTTCTTTCGCATGATTTGAGTTTTTTTACATAAGAATTATGAATGAAAACTGTTCTAAATTTTATTTCACATGAGCCATAGAGACACCGAACAGACCACAATATAATGAAGCTTTTGTAACACTGACTCACTGATCAGGTGATTACCTAACGAATGACCTTCAGTTTGCTGGCTGCTCCCACATGCCGAGACAACGTACCGACATGCTCCACAGACGTCTGATAAGCCAGCACGATGAACACTTGGTACAAAATATGCATTATGGTAGGGGGAGGGGGGGCACTGAATTTGGAACTGTCTCACTCAACTTAAAAAGAATTTCATTACCCATTACTGACACTCTTCTGCCCTCAAGAATGTCTTGCAGCACATCAATTCTTAAGTTCTCAAATAAATAATTCATTGTGCACTTACAGCACACAACATTCCCACTTCCACACGCTGTAATGGCACTTGCTGAATGGTATGAGTATTTTCTCTATTCCATATTCATACATTTTGCACACTGACATGACCATTTACATAAGGCCTTAATGGTTATGAACAGAAGCATCCAGAACTGCATGAATGTTTTGCAGCAACCAAAAGCAAAAGTGAATTTCTGCTGCATAATCCGATGGCTTAAGCTTTTGCACATATGTAATTTTATACAGTCAAAAGTTAATTAGTCTCCAGATCCTAATGAAACACTATTTTCTTCTGTCTAGTGTCTTAAAAATTTGGAAGAATTGATCTCAGTAAAAACTTTCGTTCAGTCACTATATTCCTCCAGGATTGCTTCTTTTCATCATAAAATGAATCCATGATCCACCACTTTTTACAACCTTTCATACACATGACTTTACAGGAACTAGAGCTTGGAGGTACGGCCCATGTCTGCAGGCAGAACAATGAAACCAGAAAGAGCCAGACATGCAGAGAATACTTTTCTCTTCTAATCAGACTTTCCCTGGGCTTAATGGAACATCTCTGGATCCTGACGACTGCTTACTCTCGAATTTCCAACTGAAGTTACATTCCGTTACTTATCTTTCTTATTAAGGACTTGGCTATGAAAACTTACTGTTGAATCATATACTTCACTGCAAATAGCAGCTAATTCAGATCTCCTGATACAAAGATCCAGACAAGTATGACTTTTTTCACATGCCATATTACTGAACATTTGCTGTGTTAATAAGCTGCCGTAACAGAAAGCAGCACAGTAATCACACACAAAACATGAGGTACACTCTGTTCACAGACTTCCTATGTTTTGATACTGGTCATGCAGTTCCCTTCTTTATGTCACTAGTGTTTATTCAGCTTCAATGTCTTCACAATTCCCAGCTTGTCTCACATGACTGTTCACACTCTCACGTTCATTGACAACATTCCTAACGCCTTCATCTTTCCTCCCATCCATTTCCGCAGATATACGGGGACTTTCTAAATCCTTTATCACTTCTGGATATATCTCACAGTGTAATGACATTCACCTTTGACTGTGTGCCTCATGAGACACTGTATTTTCTTGCCGTTTCACACGTTTTGCATGTTTAATCACCATAGTCTTAAAGTATGCATGACCATAACTACAGCACCTGATACTTTTTGACACATTATTCCCTGTACTTCTTTTGGCTTATTTTGGACTTCACCCATCGTCTGGTATGTAAAAGACAAAAAACCACGACATTTCGGAGACTGGATCTGTCTACGTCTTCAGGTGGATAGGGAAGGATAAACCTACTCAGTTGGGCCCCTTAGAAAGAGCTAGTCTCAATCACTGGACCAGTGGTTTTCTGTCTTTTTGTCTTTTACATACCAGACGATGGGTGAAGTCCAAAATAAGCCAAAAGAAGTACAGTATACACCATCGTCAGAATCCTTTCAAGTCTAACATTATTCCCTTTCACACTATTACTTATTTTCTTAATATGGTCTACCATTTTTACATTTGGCAACACTTGCATTCATACCAAATCTCATGATACTGTAAATCGTTGAATTATCACTTTCAATCTGTAATTGTGATGGGATTTCAGGACACTCCATGGAAGCTTGTGCCTTCTGACTTTGTAACATACTGCTGTCTTTCTTGCTTACATAGTACAATAGTGTGAGATGCAATCTGTGCCATACTGTGAACATGCTAAGAACTTAAAATGGATTAAATACATGTTGTATTTTAGCGCCCTGTTGCACTGATTTGTATCCATAATGTGTATATATTTACATGTTTATATTCATGAAAACAACCCATGAATTGGTAACCCTCATAAGTAGGGAAGGAAACTGATTTTCCATTCAGGCAAATAAAATTCCAATCCCTTTTGACATGATCCTGCTGTACAGAGCAAAAGAAGCTATCAGAGAATTCTCAGAGTTCTAGAATGAAAAATTAGCATCCTAACATGACTTATAATTTTTTTTCGCAATTTGATCTCATAAATTCAAGACTTCCACATGCCTAACCAAAAAGGTTCCAAGAACAACAAATTTGGGAAGTACTACTGTAGACACACATGCTATATGCAGTCAATAATGTTTCAACCGTACAGCTATTTGATGTCCACAAATCCATACTAAGAAAGGATTTCAAAACTCTCTTCTTACAACTAAGTCACCCTTTATTAAGTGAAGAAGTTAGTAACTACATATCACATCAGCTGAAATTTAGCTAAACACAGCAGAAAGACTTAACCTACTGATGCACACAACTTGCAGCCGTACCTCTACATGTTTCTCTTCTCAGCTCAGTTTCATGTAAGAGTGTCGTCACTGGCGGTGTCCGTGGCAAAACAGGCTTTTTCAAGCCACAGCCTTCTTTAGAAGATCCTCCAAGACTTGTCTACTCTATCATGAACTAGACCAACAAGTTCTCATTTCTTTGGATTTTGTAACAATAATTTTTTTAAAGAGCAAGGTCATCAGCCTTGCGTCCAACCCCAAACCTGGACGACCAGGTCTCTGTATTTATGTCCACCAGTAACAGGGTAGCCTAGTAATAACCCCAGGCACTGGATTCCCTTTTCCTCGCCTATTACAACTCACACAGCTACAGTGGAGGTGTTCTAACATGCCTCCACACAAGTCATAAAAGTGTTACAAGAAGGT